ATTTATGTCCTCTGACCTCGTTTTTTGGTGTCCTTTTTATTAAATATCAGAAACTTTGTAACCACACAATAGCTAAATAATAAAGCTCAAATATATGTTATGATCCCATTTATATGAAAACATTTATATGAATAATAAAATCAGACAAATAGAGATAGATTTACATCTATAACTTCATATATTTTGTTAATTATTAGAAGTTACAAGATAATGCGTAGAGAATGCATTTACTTTGATATAAACAAAAACTTATGTCTTCTGTATATGCCATTTGTTATTATAAATTCATATGAGCTAGGAAAAACCTATGAAAGTTTATAGATCAAGATCTTACTGGTAATTCAACACAGTGGGATTGGAGGAAGGACAGGGGGTGATGCCTAGCTTTGTGTTATATATAAATTTGTTTCACTTATTACCAAGGTAACTAGTAAAATATTATTCCCAAAAATTCTTCCAGGGCATAGGAGGCCTTAAAAAAAGAGAGAAGAAAATTCTCAGATATGAAGAAAAGCGGTGCAAAGTCAGAACAGTATGGGGTAGCTAAAACCAGAGAGACAACTGGTGTTTCTCACCAGAGAGGGCCTTTGGTGTGGGGTCACATCCCAGGATACTTATAGCCCATTTCAGTTGATTTCTGTGTTGCATGACTGACTGTTCACCTTTGGGAGGAGGTCCTATGAACAGTGACCTAGAGCAATGTCACTGCCAGGCCACTCTACACTGTGGAGACCAGAGGAACAAGAACCCCTGCCCCTCTGTTCATGTCCACAAGGATCTCATCAGGGTGAAGCCTCCTCTTGCCCCACCCCTCCATGGCCACCAGGCTCTTCTGCTGTGTGGCCCTTTGTCTCCTGGGACTAGGTGAGTCCACAGAAATGAAAAATCTGCATTCTTTTATATTCCCAATTCTGATTCCATTTACATTCCTTATCCTGTTCCCCTACTTTGTCCACTTCCACAGAACCCAGAGTTGCTGGAGTCACTCAGATACCCAGGCACATGGTGACAGAGAGGGACAAGGAGTAACTCTGAGTTGTGAGCCAATTTCAGGCCATGCCGACCTTTACTGGTACAGACAGACCTTGGTGCAGGGACTGGAGTTTCTGATTTACTTCAGCAATCAAGCTTGTATACATGACACAAGGATGTCCAAGGACCAATTCTTAGCTCAGAGGCCTAATAAATCATTCTTCCCTCTAAAGATCCAGCCCACAAAACCTGGAACTCAGCCTTTTGCCTCTGTGCCAGCATCTTAGCCACAGAGCAGCAGAGTCACCTCTCCCTGTGCAGAAATCCTCCTGCTTTCCCTTCTCATTCTAGCCCCAAGGGGTCCTGCGTAAAAGTCTTCCTTGTGACTCTCTCACCAAGAGAAATGTGTGGGTTTGGGGCTTAACAAGAAAAGAAGTGATAACGTATCAACCTAGAAAACCCTGCATAGGAAACAACATAGGAAATGGGCTTCAGAAATTCCTCAAAAATACTCTGTGGGCTCAAAACTGACCAGGTAAGATAAACCTTAATTACCCACACTGTGGATTTTTCTGCATTCCTGCATTGGCCTCCATCTGAATGGCAGGAGCTCCTGGTAATGGCTTCACAGCCCTCCATTCTCTTCTCCCTCCAGGCTATAACAAAATCCATTTCCCCTCAACCCTAACACAAGTGTTCCTGAGTTCTTTCATATAGCCAACTTCCACTTGTGATTGTCTTATTCTTAGCCATTCATGGACCCTGTCCTTAAAGATGAAAACAGAGTAAAATTTTACTGTGTTTATACCACAAGATATAATTAGATATATTATGTCTGTTATTAGTGCATTTTTTGTTCTCCTGGATCCTCCCTGCTGCTTCCAGATTATACCCCATTTTCCTGCTTCAATACCCAGCTCTTCACACACATGGTATTAGCATAGTTCCCTTTGTTCTTGCATTTAGTTCTTTACTGTCAGGTCCCTCATTTACTTTTTCTTCCCACTACTGACCCTGTCATCATTGGTGATGTCATCATCATGTAGACAATTTATTCATGGATTGGCTTCTCAGTTTCTTGACCTCCTCACTTTTGATAATTTTTTACCTCCAACCTTCTCCAAGTGCACTTCCAACATTCTAGACCATGGTGTGAACAACAAATAAGCTCCTTACAAAACTTCCATTTTTATAATTCCGTGCTCCTACCCTTTCTTTCTATCTCACTAAATCAACCTCCTCTTCCTAGGATGCATATATCCACACACCCAAATGCTTTTAAACTCTCATGCCTTAATTTGCACAATGTCTAAACCAGGTTCAAGGTTTAAGACTATAATGTCAACTCTGGTTAAACCCAGCTCCCTCTTCCAAGGCCATCTGTTTCTATCCCTTCAAAATGAGAGTGGCAGTCAATCAAAATCTTTCTCAGAGGGATCTGTTTAAGAACCCCAAATCAGTGAGAAATTACTTAGATTTTGTATGTCTGTGAGCTAGGGATTGCCTTCAGAGTAGTATAAAGAACTTGAGATTTAGAAAGTACTTTATTTGTGTCCAGAATTTGCAGTGTTCATGGTCCACACACAGGAAAATGTCTAGCAGAGAGTAGGCATGTGATATAGCAGAGAAGAAAAAATGGTAGAAGCACAGGGTGTGAGATGTGACAATTGATGAATGTTTTGGAGAGTTTGAATGAGCCAATCACATCCCAGAATAGATATGCCCTATTCCAGTCAGTCTTCTGAAGAGGATTAATGTTCGCTTCTAGAGGAGGTCTTATGAGCAGTGACAGAGAGCATTGTCACTGACAAGCCACTCTCCACCTTGTGGAGACCAGAGGAACTAGAACCCCTGGCCCTCTGTTCATGTTCATAAGGCATCATCTGGATGAAGCCTCCTAGTGCAACTCCCTGCCATGACCATCTGGCTACTCTGCTGTATGGCCCTTTGTCTCATGAAAGTAGGAGAGTCCTCAGAAATAAAGAATTTGCATTTTTGGATATTTCCAGTTCTGATTCCATTTATGTTCCTTATCCAGTTCACAAACTCTGTCCACTTCCACAGGGCTCTCAGATGCTGTAGTCACCCAGACACCCAGGAGCATGGTGACAAAGAAGGGACAAGGAGTAACTCTGAGTTGTGAGCCAATTTCAGGCAATACCTACCTTTACTGGTACAGACAAACCTTGCTGCAGGGACCTCAGATGCTGATTTACTTTGGCAATCAAGCTTCTCTTGACAGGAAAGGGATGCCCAATGACTGATTCTCAGCTCAGATGCCCAACGAATCATTCTTCACTCTAAAAATCCAGTCCACACAACCCGGGGACTCGGGCTTGTACCTCTATGCCAGCAGCTTGGCCACAATGCTTCAGAGTCATGCCCTCCCTCTGTAGAAACCTTCCTGCTTCCCCGTCTCACTATAGCCTCCAGGTGTTCAGAGTAAAAATATTCTGTGCTCCTCCATGATCAAAGGAATGCATGTGTTTGGGGATGTCAAGAACAGAAGTAATAACGTATCCACCTAGAAAACCCTGCGTAGGAAACAATGTAGGAAATAGGCTTCAACGTTGCTCACAAATTGTCTGTGGGCTCACAACTCATCACACAGGTAAGATATACCTTAATTATCCACATTGTGGATTTTCCTGCATTTCCTGCATTCCTCCATCTAAATGGTAGAAGTTCTGTGTAATGGCTCCTCAGCCCTCCATTCTCTTCTCACTCTAAGCTATTAACAGACTTTCTCTCACAAGGTTTCTAGAGATCTGTCATATAGTCAACGAACACATTCATTGACTTATGTTTTGCTATTCAGGGGCCCTGATCTTAAAGGTGGAAATAGTGAAGAATAAAATTCTACTGTGTTTACACCAAGAGATAATCTTCTTTGATATCTGATATCAGTGCACTTTTTGCCCTCCAGGGTCCTCCCTACAGTTTACAGTCCATTATCTTCCTCCTGCCTTAATACCCAGCTCTTCACACACACACACACACACACACACACACACACACACACACACAGCATTAGAATATTACCCTTTGTTCTTACACTTACTTCTTTACCATCAGGTCTCTCCTCATTCACTTCTCCTCACTACCAATCCTGCCATTATTGGTGACTTCTTCATCACATGGACAATTTATACATGTTGGGTTTCTCAGCTTCTTGACCTCCTCACTTTCAGTAATTTTCTACATCCAGTGTTTTCCTGATGCATTTCCATGATTCCAGACCATGAAATAAATAACAAATAAGCTCCTTCCAAAATTTCTATTTCAATCATCTCATGCTCCTATTTATTCTTCCTTTCATTTTATCTGAGGAATGCAGCACCCTTCCTCCTCTGATTATTCTAGCCACTGATCCTTATTCCACATATCCAACTGCTGTTAAACTTCTGTGCTCTTCTTTCTCACATTCTCTAAACCAGTTTCAGGGTTGAAGACCTTAATGTCAACCCTGGTTAAATCCGATTCCCTCTGCCCAGGGCAACTGCTTGTGTCCCTTCATTATGAGCATGGTGGCCAATCAAAATCCTCCCAGGATGGATCTGGATAAAAGCCCCAATTCAGTAAAAGAATTATTTAGACTTGTGTGTCTGGAAGATAGGGATTGCCTTCAGAGGAGTATGAAGGACTTGAGATTTAGAAAGTACTTTATTGGTGTCCAGAATCTGCAGTGTTGATGGCCCACACACAGGGAAATGTCTAGCACACAGTAGGCATGAGATATAGCAGAGAAGAAAGAATTGTAGAAGCACAGGGTGTGAGAGGTGACAATTGATGAAAGTTTTGGAGTCTTTTAATGAGCCAATCACATCCTAGAATAGATATGCCCTATTCCAGTCAGTATTCTGAGGAGAACTACTGTTCACTTCTGGAGGAGGTCCTATGAGCAGTGACAGAGAGTATTGTCACTGACTAGCCACTCTCCACCTTGTGGAGACAGGAAGAACTAGAACCCCTGCCCCTCTGTTCGTGTCCACAGGGCATCATCTGGGTGAAGCCTCCTGCTATCCCACCCTGCCATGGCCACCTGGCTCCTCTGCTGTGTGAGCCTTGGCCTCATGTTAGTAGGTAAGTCCCTAGAAATAAAGCATCTGCCTTTTTGGATATTTCCAGTTTTTATTCCATTTATGTTTCTTATCCTGTTCCCAAACTCTGTCTACCACTTCCACAGAGCACGCAGATGCTGGAGTCGCCCAGACACCCAGACACAAGGTGACAAAGATGGGACAAGCAGTAAGACTGAACTGTGAGCCAATTTCAGGCCACTATGACCTTTACTGGTACAGACAGACTTCACTGCAGGAACTGAAGTTCCTGATTTATTTCAATAATGGAGCTCCAATAGACAACAGCGGGATGCCCAAGGACCGATTCTCAGCTAAGATGCCTAATGGATCATTCTCCACTCTGAATATCCAGCCCACAGAACCCGGGGACTCAGCCGTGTACCTCTGTGCCAGCAGCTTAGCCACAACGCTGTAGAGTCACGCTCTTCCTGTGCAGAAACCCTTCTGGTTCCCTTTCTCACTGCAGCCTTCAGTCATTCTGAGTGTCAAAGTCTTCCCCGTAAGTCTCTCACCAAGAGAAATGCATGGTTGTGGGGCATGGCAATAAAGGAAATAACAAGGTATCAATATATATTTTAAAAATCACTACATAGGAAATAACGTAGGAAATGTAATTTAAGGAGGCTCAAAACTCACCACACCTGTAAGATAAATCTTTATTGCCCACACTGTGGATTTTCCTGTGTTCCTGCCTTGGTCTCCCCATCTGAATGGTAGGAGCGCCCAATGATGGCCCCTCAGCCCTCCATTCTTTTCTCCCTGTTAACAGAATTTCCCCACTAGTTTTCTAGAATTCTGTCATATAGCCAATACCACTTGTCATTCTTCCACCTTTTGCCATTCAGGGGCCCTGACCTTGAAGGTAGAAACAGTAAAATGTCCTCTGTGTTTATGCCATGAGTTATATTGAACATAATACTTCTGATTTTAGTGCATTCTTTGTCCCCCTGGCTCCTCCCTGCTGTGTCCAGAGCATTCTCCTCCCCCCTGCTTTAATACTCAGCTCCTCATACACATGGCATGAGAATATTACCCTTTGTTGCTGCACTGACTTCCTTACCATCAGATGTCTCCTCAGTCACTTCCTCTCCTCACTACTAACCCTGCCATCATAGGTGACATCATCATGACATAGACAATTTATACATGAGTTTGGCTTCTCAGTTTCTTGACCTCCTCACTTTTGATGACCTTTTTATAGCTCCAATCCTTTTCAGATGCACTTTGATGATTCCAGGCCACAGAATAAACAACAAATAAAACTTTCCAGCCCTAGTTGGTTTAGCTCAGTGGATAGAGCATTGGCGTGTGGACTGAAGGGTCCCGGGTACGATTCCGGTCAAGGGCACATGCTCAGGTTGCAGGCCCTATCCCCAGTAGAGGGTGTGCAGGAGGCAACCAATCAATGATTCTCTCTCATCACTGATATTTCTATCCTTCTCTCTCTCCCTTCCTCTTTGAAGTCAATAAAAAATATTTAAACAAATAAAACAAAACTTTTCAAAATTTCTATTTCAAACATTCCATTATCCTACTCTATTTTCCTTTTTGATTTTTATCTCACTAGCTCTGCACAATTCCTCCTGTGATTCTTTTAGTCACTGACCTTCAGCCCTCTTACCCAACAGCCTATAAGCTTCTATGTTCTTTTTTTAAATTTCAGAGAGGAAGGGAGAGGAACATCAATGATGGGAGAGAATCATCAATCAACTGCCTCCTGCATGCCCCCTACTAGGGATCGAGCCCATAATTAGGGCATGTGCCCTGATCTGGAATCGAACTGTGACCTCCTGGTTCATAGGTCAATGGTCAACAACTGAGCCACAGCAGCCAGGCTAAACTCCTATGTTCTTAATTCTCACATTGTCTAAACGAGGTATAAGGTTTTAAGACCATAATGCCAACCCTGGTTAAATCCAGCTCCTTCAAGGCATTATGGATGGCAAAAGGGAAGTTCCTGAAACAGTCAACAGTATTTTTGCAATGATCACAACACAGCCATATCACTGACAGAATTCTCTGATCTCATACTCATTGACAAGTATTCCATTGGGCCACCAGGTGTGCACAGGGAAGTGTATAGGTCAAAAGGATACTTTGCTTACATTTAAACAATCGATTTCCTCTAAACTGGTGGTCTGGTGGTGTCTTTTTATTCAATATCAGAAACTTTGAAACCAAACAATTATTAAATAATGGAACTCAAAAAATATGATATGATCCCACTTATGCAAAAACACTTATATGAATAAAGAAAGAAGGCAAACAGAGATGAATTCATCCCTGCTGGTATGTAGGACTTTTCATATATTTTGTCAAATTTTAGAAATTACAAGATAATGCATAGAGGATGTTTCTTCTTTTATAAAAACAAAACATATACCTTTCATATATGCCATTTTTTTATTATAAATTCATACGAACCAGGACAAATCTATGAATATTTACAAATTAAGTTCTTCTACTGGTAATTCAACAAAGTGGCATTGGAAGGAGGACAGGGGGTGATGCCTACCTTTGTGTTATATATAAATTTGTCTAACTTATTACCAAGGTAACTTGTAAAATATTACTCCCCAAAATTCTTTCAGGGCATAGGAATTCTTTTTTTTTTTAAGGAAAATTCTCATATATAATGAAAAGAAACGTGCAAAAGAGGAACAGTATAGGGTGGTAAAGGCCAAAGAAACAACTGGCATTTCTCACCAGAAAAAGCCCATGTGCTGGGGCCACATCCAGGATAGTTCTTCAGTGGATCTTCTGTAGAGAATTCATGTTCACCTTTGGAAGGAGGGCCTATGAGTAGTGACAGAGTGCAATGTCACTGCCAAGCCACTCTCCCCTCTGTTCATGCCCACAAGGGCCCTCTCTGGGGGAAGCCTCCTCCTGCCCCACCCAGCCATGGCCAACAGGCTCCTCTGCTGTATCACCCTTTGTCTCCTGGGAGTAGGTGAGTCCCCAGAAATAAATATTCTGCGTTTTTAAAATATTCCCAATTCTGATTCCTTTTATGTTCCTTATCTTGTTCCCAAACTCTGTCCACTTCCTCAGGTCTCGTAGATGCTGGAGTCACCCAGACACCCAGGCACAAGGTGACAAAGATTGGACAAGAAGTAACCCTGAGTTGTAAACCAATTTCTGGACATGACAGCCTTTACTGGTACAGACAGACCTCACTACAGGGACTGAAGTTTCTAACTTATTTCCGTAATCAAGCTCCTATTGACGAGACAGGGATGCCCAATGATCGATTCTCAGCTAAGATGCCTAATGGATCATTCTCCACTCTGAAGATTCAGCCCACAGAACCTGGGGACTCAGCCATGTACCTCTGTGCCAGCAGCTTAGCCACAGCGCTGCAGAGTCATCTCCTCCCTGTGTAGAAACCCTTCCGGTTCCCCTTCTTGCCCCAGGCATCCTCAGTAGTCTTTCCAGGCTCACCTGTGTCAGAGCATGGGCCTGGGTTTCGTGTTCTACCTCTCCCTATGGAAGACAAGAACTGTGAAAGGGCCATTATCCAGGCTGGATTATCTCAGTTCATGATTAGTGGTTGTGCCTTTGCCTTCATTATCAGAATGGTTAAATGGTACCATGGCTATATCCTCAGATGTGCTCATACCTTTCCAATTTCTTTTAACCCCTCTCATGATAACTTTTCTATAACTGTGCTCCTATTTGTAACAAAACACCTTTCCCCGCCCCACATTTTCAGAGGTCCTCTTTTTTTAAAATTTATTATTTGAAAATAGTTGCAGATTCATAGGAAGTTTCTAAGTAAACAAAGGAATCCAGTATACCCTTCATCCAGTTTCCACCAATGGTTGCATTATTAACCTATCTAATAATAGACAAACATCGTAATTGACCGTACCTTCTCTACGTTACCATTGGCTAATCAGGGCGATATGCAAATTAACTGCCAACAAAGATGGCCATTAATTTGCATACATAGGCGCAATGCTGTGAGGAGAAAGAGGAAGGATGGAAGAAGCCGCCTGCCGCTGACGGTGATCAGAAACCCAGGTGGCAGACAAGAGCTGGGTGGCAGAACAAAGGCGGTCCTGGGGGCCGCCTTTTCCCTGCCCCCCGGCCCGTGATCAGGGACCAGGGGCCACCTTTGCCCATCCCCCGGCTGGTGATCAGAGAAGCCGGGCAGGGCAGGGATCGGAGAAGTACCTGTATTTTTTTTCAAAGTACCTGTATTTTTAATAATTTCTTGACATGGTAAAAGAATATTACATTACGATCCAAGGGTGGTGGGGAGCAGCAGAACAATCCAACAAACAAAATGGGAAACAGAAATGCATGGTGGAAGGGATTTGAAGGGTGGGTAGGGGCATTGCCCAACTAAAATGCAATTGGTTTGTTACTGAGTACTATTCATGGGAAGACAGCATCCTGACTCCTTCTCTATACAGCATATTGGGAGTAAATATGATGCATCCAGGTGGAAATATGATTAGAGGTTGGAAGACAGACAGGGAAAGAAGAAGTCAGAAATAGACACTGAGAGAGTCACTGGCTGGCTGGCTACAAATCCTGGTTCTCCAGTAGTGATAGAATAAAAAAGTGGGGGATATCTCTGGAAGATTCAAGAGATAGGGGGCAACTCTTCTATGTTTTTTACTTGCCCAGCAGATTTCCACATACATACGTGTACACGCCGATGTTTGCATGCACACACATATACACATAACTGACTGCCCTCCCTGGAAGCACAAAAGAAGAAGAAGCCTCCAGAAGAAGAAGCGCCCACTTTTGGTCCAGGTGCCAGCGCCTGCTGCTGGCTGCAGCCCAGGAGACGGACAAGCCACCCGCCTGAGGTCCCAGGCTGCAGCCACCCGGAGAAGCTGCCAGCCCTGTGGTCCAGGGCGCCTGCACCTGCGGCCAGGGAAATAAGTTCCCTCTTCTCCTACTGCAGTCATTACTTCAATATTCCCCTTCTGAATTTCTCTCCTGTGCTGCAACCCAAATCCACTTTTCATCGGAAGAATACGGAACAGGGAGAGCAGTGCTAAAAGCTTACATTTTTAAGCCTGTAAGGTTGGTACTTAAACATATAAATGGAAAACTAGAGTCCTTAAAATAACAAAGGCGACAAAGGACAGGGACAGCACATGACCTATTTTATCCAACAATCCATATGGGGACTGAAAACTTTGGAATTATAACAATTAGTGAAGATATGAATCAACTAAAGTAGTTGACAGGGACAATTCTTCCATCTTTGAAAATATCTACATCAAATCTGTTTAAATAGATTTTCATCTGCATAACATAACACATTCTGACAAGACCACCACCACCACCAATCTACGTTACCATTGGCTAATCAGGGCGATATGCAAATTAACTGCCAACAAAGATGGCCATTAATTTGCATACATAGGCGCAATGCTGTGAGGAGAAAGAGGA